GGGCTCAGTCCCGGGCGCCCTGCCCCGCCCCGGGCTGCTCTCCTCGCTCCCCAGCGCTGCTCTCCCGATTTCCATCGCTGCTGGAGGTCCGCGCCAGGCCCCCAGCCGCGGAGCTGGAGGGTTCCTGTAGCTGCAGCGGGTGGCGGGGTGAGCTACGAGCCTGCCGTAGCCTTTGGAGGCAGCCACGGTGCTGTCCAGAGGCCTTGGAAAAAGACCCCTATTCTACCATAGCCGTTGGAGATGGTGTTCAGAAAATGTGCACGTGTGACACTTCAGGACCATGTTTAGCAGGTGTGGTGGTGTTGGGTTGGCGGTTGGACCTGATGATCTTACAGGTCTGTTCCAACTTTAATGATGCTATGAGATGGCCTTAGTAGTGTCCAGAGGCTTCAAAAAAAGGATCTGCTCTTCATAGCGGGCCGAAGTCAGTGGTCTACAGAGCTGCACTGCACTTCACCGTTACAGCCTGCGATGGAACACCCTGCCTCAGACGGAAGCTGAATTTTTGCTGAAGTGCCCCTGGGCAGCTACTGGGCTAGAAGCCGATAGCTCACATAGTGTGAGGCTGCATGCGCAGCTTTTCTTTGTTTACGTTGGAGCAAAGAATTTAAGTAATGGGATATCTTAGCAGTCAAGTTTTTTCTTTTTGTAAGACCGTTGAGTTCAAGGCATGTGACTGACACTTAATATATTATTGTCAAATGTTAACATAATGTAGGTCTTGTATCTAGTGTCACTTGAAACAGCGCAGGTAGGAGTGGAGTGTCAGATGTATTCTGGATTTTTTGCAGTAACTTGTAGAAAAACGAACCTTTAGATATTAGAGAGAATAAACAGGGAGGAGTGGAGGGTGGTGAAAAGAAATGGAATTGCCAGCATCTCCCAGAGTTCTTAACTCATGGAAACTTGTACAACATCAATATTGGGACTCTTTTTCCATTCCCACCCAGTGAGGCTTCCCTCAGGTCACTTCTTACTTTGTGAAAGAAATACTGCTTATTTTCTCTATTTAATTTTCAACGGCAGCCAGTCACAAAGCTAAACACATCAGTAAGCAAAACCTCCAATCCAAAGCTTGCCACAGCTGTGATTTCTGCCAAAATGTCATGGGAATAATGATATCCTCACTCAGTGTATTGGCGACCTGGAATAGAGAACAGAGTGAGGTTTTGTGATGGAGATGATATTCACAAGGAAAATAAAACATTATTCTTTAAAAAAAAATTCATTTTTGCTGCCAATAAGCTCTGGAAAAATGTAACAGTTCTTTTAGCAACAGTGTTATATTTATGTCCTAAAGCTGCAAAAAATTAGAAGGTTGAATTCTAATTGTATAGTCCAACCAGGTGCATGATCCCAAGTTGATTGTGAACCTGGTGCTTTCGCTTAAGTTTAGGAGTGCAGTAACTGCTGCCAATGCTCTCACCGGCAGAGCTTTCTGTCATCTCTGTACTGAATTGGAGTGTTGGCTGGTATGTGTGTGTATGGGGAGTTGGGAACAGATGTACTCGAAAGCTCGGAATGGTGTTCATTTTCATCTCATCACTTTGTCTCTGAAACTGCAAAGGAGGTACCTTGTTCTTACTTTGTGTGAACGTACATGCAAAAGTGTCGTATTAAGGAACTGGAGTTTGTCACATCATGTGTCACACAGAAGTGGCAGATTTTCTGTGTTGATACAATCTTCTGATGTCTATTAATTATCTGTTGTAATCGAATGAATCATTGACTCAGCCTGTAATAACTTCTCTTGGACTGTTATCTCAGCTACTGCAGCTATTTTTGAGGTTTTTTTTTTAACCTGGAAAAAACGTAACAACATATGGACAGAAATACGTGAGCAAACCAAAATTTGGAGCTGCTTTGCATGTGCTTTTTAAAAATGAGGAAAAAAAGGGTTTTTACACTGTTCAGCTGAAAGTAGTGAGAATCTTAAATATTGATGCAGAAAAACTGGCAGACAAGAGCAGACATGAATGAATAAGCTGTGTGTCCTGTTGCATAAGATGACAGCATGTAGAACGCTGGCCTGCCGATAATAATCAAAGTTGATGCCCTTAGGAAGAGGAGGTGAGGAAAAAATACAGTGAGGAGAAATGATTGTTTTTTATTGCCAGTACAGTGGCGCTGATAGGAAGGTCAGGTCCTGTCTTGGGGGTAAAACTGAAGTGTGTTAGAGAACTTACATGTCTGTTTTCCCCATAGGATTTATTTCTGCTTTTGTTGAACTATGCAAGGCTTTTACATCAAGTTCAACAGAACTAAAATTGCATTTCTCCTTTTTGCTTCCATACAAACTAGTAGGGTTCTTCCTTCATTTTAAATTTGTTTGTGTATGTTTGTTTGGAATAGAACCTTTCCAGTTCCTTTTCTGAAACAGGGAGGAATCTCAGCTTTGTATGCACGTGTGCACACATATTTTACTAAAGCTACAGAAAAGAAAATAGGCTAAGGTAAAGGCTGATTTTTAAAATCATTGTGGGACAAATAAGCTGCTCCTGTGCTTGCTGTGTTCCTATTTCACCAGTTGTTGAAAGTACAGTGAGAAGTTATGAAAGAGGAAAGCAGAGTTAATATTTGCTGATATTTACTGGCAGAATATTTTTCTATAAAGGTTTCAGACAGCTTTGTTTACTTTGTTTACTGTAAGGTAGTCTCTTAAAACAGGTAGCCTGATACCAAAAAAAGTCACCTGGGGGAAGCTTCCAAAGAATCGCCTCTTCGGAAGTGTTTTGTGTAGTTTATTTTTTTTCTGTGTTGGCTGGTGCATGCTAACTGGCTCTACAGGTCGCACAATTACAGTTTTGTTAAATGTATCTATTGTGATCTTTTTGTCCAGTTATCATTAAATTATTCTTGAAATTGCTTATGAGCTAAAAATAATCATAGCAAACATCCAGTTGTTTTAACTTAATAAAGGTATCTTTTGTTATCTTGTCTGACTAATATGGAACACTTTCAGGAAAAAATGCATGGCTTCTGTACATGAGATGCTCAAAACTTCCGTAATGTGCCTGTGAAACTTTCAAACTTAAAAGTTCCCTGCTTCCATTTTTGTACTGTGAAAGATACATACGAATTCATATATATTTTCGTATATCAATAAAGGCATAACAAAGCTGTTACAGAGCAAAAGGATGTTATGCTTGCATTCCATGAATGCATTTTGTTCTTGACAGTTCTTTTTCTCATTTGGTTCTTGAATAGTAAGATCAGTAAAAGTAATATAATGATGTATCTAGTGCCTCTGAAGAGTTTCTGTGGCAGTGAAAGATCATATCTTACACTACGAAAGCCCTCTCAGCAGTGACTGCCTGATTCTGACCTTGTTTTGTTGACATAACTGATGATTTCAGTAGGTTGTGTGTTAGATAGCTCTTACTGGTCTGAGTAAGAGTTGCAAGAAACTAAGTGTGAGAACTTAAGCCTTATGTCAGATTTCGGGCTCAGCACTGGTTTATATGTCAGTGTACTGGTTGAGGGTTAAGCCTCAGTCACATTTGTACCTGAGCATGCCGTTCAGGTGATACAGTCTCAGAGCATAACTCATTGATTGTTTAATTTCCTCCGCAGTCTGTGTTGTGAAGTCATGTAATAGCTTAATATGTTGCTGAGTTAATGAGCTCCTTCACTTTCAAGTCTAGCTCAGCTAATATAAATGTATGTACTTTTGTTTGAAATTTAATGAAACAATACTGTTTTCTGCTAGGCAGCTGGTCCGTCTGTCTGTAGGTGACGAGGAGGACAGACACAGGAAACAAACATATGGTCCTTTTCTGCCTCATTGTTTTCCTTCTGCTAATACTGAGGTCCTCCGAGGGCCGTTGTAAAGTGGTTATAACTGGGGTCGTTACTTTTGTTTCATTTGATCAGACCTGATTTTTCCACTTTAGAACTACAGCCTATGTTGTATGGAAGCACTAGAGTTCTATATTTAGGGTTGTGAAAGCACGTTGGGGTACAGTATCCCAATCTTTCTCATGCCTTGTGCTGATTCTTTCTGAAGCTTGCATTATCTTGATCGAATATTACTGTTACAAAATGGAAAGTGTGTTTACTATTTTTAAACTGGTTTTTGGACAGGTCCTGAGCTTTTCTTACTATTTTAGTATGAAATCTTTTTCTGAAGAAAAGGGTGTGACAAATTGAAGGAGGAAAAAAAAATCCATTTACTGCCAGATTAATTGTATACTGATACCTTTCTACTTTGAACATTTCCATAAGCGGATCTTTAAAAGATTAAGCACCTGTGTGGTGCACAGTTCTCGTTTGTGAGAATTTGTATCATGTTTTACTGAATCAGTACTTTTCATGAGTTTTGGTGGGACACGTTAGGGTTCAAAGCCTGAACTGTTCTTGTACCTAATCAATCTAGAGGATACCTTTGTACTCTTACATGAATAGGTTGCATCTCTAAGTCCCAGCTCTAATTATGGAACATTAGTCCAGAATTAGTTTAAGCAGGACATACTCAAGTTTATGAATGTGTTTATCCAGACACAGGGTGGAGCTGTGACCGCATCCTGTCACTTTTTGGTGTAGTGTACCGCTGGAGGCCTTGAGCCATTCCACCCCCCTGAGCAGAGATTTATCATAGGCTGACCAGTACTTCTGTTTTCTTCCCTGCTTCTCAGAAGATGCTGTGTTGCCTCATAATCTGTTTCATTTGACTCCAGAATGGGAAATGTCAGTGCCCTTCTTACACAGTCACGAGTGAATGTGCAGACTGTCCACTGTTTCTGGGAACTGTGTAAGGCTATAGTCTTTCTGCAAATAGATGTGCAGACCTCTTGTTCTCATTTGGTGTGAAATATCTCTTCCTGAATTTTGCTTTATTTAAATGACTGGCTGTCAATATTCAAAAGAGGAACCGAGATGAATCCGATTAGTTTGCCCTAGTTCTGAGTTGAAGTCATGCAGAGGTGCTAAGTTTTGTGGCTAAATGTAAGGCTATGCCAGGATTCATTTGAGAGATTTGAAAACCTTTTGATGAACCTGTGGTGAGTGACAAGTTGAAATGGAACTTGAAACCATATGACTTCAGATTTTACATGTGAATAACTTCAATACTTAAAAAAATGCTGAGAATATGTTGGTTTGGCTGTGTTTTCTGCTTTTGTTAATAATAAAAGGAACATAAGGACAAAGATTTTTCTTTTGAAGAATGCTAATAGCACTTCCATTTATTTTATTTTTAATAGCTATTTAAAATTCATTGAAATAATTTTCCAAGAGTCCTATTATTTACAAAAAAACATACAGAAGGTGGAAGATGCTCTGCTGTTTCACATAGTTCTAGAGGAGTGGTTTGTGTCACAGATGACTTGGCTTTTGGAGTAAGGACAGTTCCTAGGCAACGCCTTCTCATATGTTATTGCAGAAACGAATACCTTGAGCCTCTGTATTACTGAACTGTAAATTTCTTCCTCTTATTTTGCTAACTGAAAGTATTTAGTACTGTAGTCCATCTTGTGTCTGCAAAATTAGTTTCAATAGCTTTACCAGTTTTAGTTGAGAGAATATACCATACTTATTTCTCTTCCTAGTTGAATGTGCAGGCTACACATGAGTAATTTTACTGTAGTAAATTGTTTTTATAATCATTGCTCATCTGATGAGTTTCTTGTCTGTCATGCTAAAAAATCATCCTGTCATCTGTGGAGACACAGAAAGGAGATAAAACAATTTAAAATCCTTTTTTTTCTGTTATCTCCATAGCATTTTGGAAAAAAGTCACTCAAGTAGCTGGATTTGAATTATGGTATTTCCATTATTTTGGAGCACTGTGTGCCACATGTGACTATAATTTGTATTCCTAGGTCCTTTAACACAAGTATGACTTCAGCCTAACTTCAGTTGTGACTGGTTTTAATCTTGTGGGTTGTGGGTCACTCCCCCCCGACACCACCCCTCAATTGTAGAGTTAGGCTGAAGCCAGCAGTAGAAACTTGAAGTTCTCTAAAAATGTGCTTTTTGTATTATGGTGATTTTGCCTAGCATAGCTATGTTTTTACACTTTGCTAGCTTCCTAGAACAGAAACCTTTGTGTGTGTGTGTATATATATATTTTTTTTTTCAAACTACCAGTATAATGTTTCCTGTCAATATTCAGGTGTCACAGTTTAGATTCATTAGCAATCTGTCAATTACTACTCATGCCTGTCTTGATAGTGATCTTTGTTTTCTTTGTTTCAGAGTTTTTCTTGTTCCTCTTATTCGCTTTTACACAGTGTACTGCACAGTAGAACATGGAGTATTCCAGGTCCTAGGATTTACCAATTTACTGGAGACTGAATTTAGAGAAAGCTAAAATAACAGACTGTAGCTAATTGATTTAGAAGTTATGTTTGAAGCTAGGAATGAGGCTGAAGTAAGAAATGTTTTGAAGGCTTTTTGAAGGATTATCAGAAGTGCTTTTGGTTTTTTTTTGGTTTTTTTTTTTTTTTTTTCTCCTGTGCAAACTGGTTGTTGGAAGCAAGTCTGTTCCCAGAATTCCGGTTACTTTGGTTGACATCCATGCATCAGCAGAGATTCTCTCGTGTAGCGCTCTTTTAGGGGTGGAGTGCTAATACACACACAAAAACCATGGACTTGAGTATATTGAGAGATGCTGTATTTAGCCATCTTGAATTTTTTTTTATATTACTTAATTTGGATATATCTGTACTTTTATTTAGTCATTCATGTCTACTTTCTTTGGTTTTGTACTGTTTTTTGTAGGATAAGTTGGATATCTGACATTATTGTGGTGGTCTCTCCTGAAAATATTGAAACAATGAAGTCTATCATTGAAAAATACGGCCACAAAAGAGTTATGGTAGTAAAAGGTGGAATAACTCGTCACCGGTCAATTTTCAATGGACTGAAAGTATTTTCAGAGAATGAATTTTCCAACCATCTGCTCCAGAAACCAGAAGTCGTGATTATCCATGATGCTGTGAGGCCATTTGTTGAAGAAGATATTCTTTCAAAAGTGGTCATGGCTGCCAAAGAACATGGGGTATGTACTGTACAGCAATGCAACTCTGCTATGTTATTTATACTGTACAGTGTAAAATCATGATTGATAAATAAGGATTTTTCTAGCAATTGTATTAATGTATTATGTTGATTTTTAAGTAGAACAGATTCAGAATCCCTGTTATGCAGAGAGGTTGGATGGGGGAGGGAGAGATTTTTAAATGCCACAGGTGTTAATTGCGATGAGGAATAATTGTTGCCGTAGAGATTATCAGTAAGATACCGAATTAATCAGCAATTTGTTAGTTGAAAAATAGATTACGTAATGATAGTTTACCTTTCTTCCATGCAGAATTCTCACCTAATGCTAGAGTAGTTCAGTTAGTGATTATTAATAATAGCCAAAGAGAGTACTGCATTGGTTGAGTTGCAAACTTCATGTGTTTACATCTCAAACTTATATGAAAATTGTGAATAAGTGGCAAGAGAGCTAAATATCTTGAGCTTCTTACCAGCAGGCCTGTACTTTTTTAGATTGGATTAATGTGAAATAGCAGCAAAATAGAAACTCTACTCTATAGTTTTCAGTGATACAGAACATAAGTTTCCAGTCATTAAAACTTAAATTCCGTTAGGTCAAAAACCTTGTTAAAATTCTTTCTCATACAGCACAAAATAACTTTCTGGAATTGATTCTCTGCCAAAGACTTTAAAATAAATCCCCTTTGTAAATCTGTTTTAAATGTGATTCTTTGAGACAAGAGTGGAGTTAATTGTACTGATGTTGAGTTGAAATGAGAGTAACTGTTTTCTGAATGTGTGTTTAGGTGTCTTTGCGTGTTACGGTAGGTATATCATATTTCATTTGTCGTGTTTAAGTTTTTTAACTTGTTCACTTTTTCTGGAAACGTGTGATTTTAATGTAATATTTTTTCCTGGTTTTCTTTTTAATTCGGTGTAAGACATTTTCAGTAAAGCAGTAGGGAACCAAGGCAATCTGCATTGACATTCTCAAGGCAGTTTAGTCCATCTGAACTTCTGACTACTGGTAAATATTTCCTTACCTAGATCACTGAAGTAACATTTGATCTCAAAAAGGTGATATTACACGTTTGTTGTAGTCTTTTCCCTTGTATAGTGTCTGTCTGAAATATGCGTGGTATTTATTTGGTCTCTGTTGGCTTAGATCCACTGAATTCAGTGAGGCTAGGCCATCAGAGAACTGGACTGCACGAGCTGTTAGCTACTGATATTACCCGACAAAGCAATTGAGTTAAGGAACATGAGAACAACTTTATTTTCTGTAACAAACTGGAAAAGCTTCCTGCTGGAGAGAGGTGGCTAATCTTTGCTTGAAAACTGCAGAATTCTGAAGAACTGAATGACTGGAAAGCTAAGACTCTTTTCTCAAAACTGACATGCATGGTTTTGAATATCAGAGAAAATTTGATTGAGAGAAGCTATCACCTTTAGTTCTTTCTCTAGCCGAATTCTTTGCATATCTAAAAGGGAGTCAATTCTTCAGTCTTTCAGTACAAAAAGTAATTACTTCCTTTTTGCATTATGTAGAAAGGTACAAAACCTGGTAGGAACAGCATATTAAATCACTAGTGTAATAGGGGTAATGCTCTATTGTTGTTCATCTGCATACCATATAGATAGCATAATTATGAGAAGCTTAAATGTTCTCTAAAATGGCAATTGATCAAGTAAGTTACTGCACTTCTAGCTGCCAATTGTCAGACAAATAAACTGCTTTATTACACTTACTAATCAGTTTGTTATTTGCCTGTAGGAATCAAAATGTGCACCTTATCCAGAACTAATAAATTATGTCTGAAATGCCCCAAACAATCTCTTGATTATGTGAAAATATTACTTTGTAACCAATTAAATTCCATTTATGTTTTTGGGGTAATTTTGTAATTAAAATTACATGTTTCTAGAAACAAATTCTTTATTGCTAGTAAAAGTTGGGAAAAGTGGAAGCTTCAGAAGGCATCAGTCCAAAGCCTCTAGCAATATCTCATTGCCAACATTGCATTTTAAACAACATAACTAAGAAGAAAAATGCTTACAAGAAAAAAAATATCAGGAAGGAGGGGGTGAACTTGTCAGTTGTGCTACTGAGAAAAAAAAAAGGGACACAGTGTCAAAGACTCTTTGTGGTTGCCATAAACTGGGTTTGAAAGTATATTTTATGTCTTTGAAAGGACTGAATCAAAATGGCATTCTTAAAAGCTGGTTTCTGGAAACTGTCTGACATCATTACTTTATTCTCAGCTTTAGCAAGGTTCTGAGCAAAGCATACATGCCAATACAGATGTACAGTGCTACTCAGTCTCATGGACTCTTATTCACATACACAATCGGTCAAAACAATACCCCCAGACAGAAAGCACTACATATTATGCTCAGTCTGTTCCTGTCTCTGGATTTAGTTAGACTCAGTGCTGCGCTTATCAGTCTTACTGCGTTGGAAGGCTGGAGCAGAAAACATGCACCCATACACATGCTGTTCCTTCACCCAGTTAGATAGCAAAATAAAATGCTTGATGTATGAATGTGGAGTTGCATTAGCAAAATATGGTGGATGGCTAACCAAAAACCATCTCTCTTTCTCCACTGAAGTTGCAGGAGGGCTTAAGTGGATAAACAGGCTGATCTGGTATGGTATGCTTGAATGGGGATGGCAATGCTGGAGCAGTTCTGCTCCCTCTGTCCATTCTTTATTGTTTTTCTCTTAGAAGCAATTATCTTTTTCTGTTTTCTTATTATCTCCTCTGTCCTTACTAGATTCAAAATGAAGGCTATAATTTTAATTAAAAACAAAGTCACTTTTATGCTTTTTGGGAACCTTAAGAGCATGTTGGCCCACTGCCTGTCATTCCTTGCCACAATATTATTATCTTACCGTGTGAATTTGCCATAGCGCAAAAATATGGGCTGATATTATACACCCATTCAAGTTCTCCAAACTTAAGCATTTGTCCTTTAGCAAATTTAATAATTGCATCAGTAGTTAATATAAGCAGTTACACTTCTTCGTTTGTTTTAGAAAAACAGCAATTTTGACAGTCTGATGAGTATGTAATATTTCTCTAACCTGCTACAGGGTTAATGGAAAGTTGTTGCCCTATGTATGTTTTAAAAAATATGTGGAGACTCTGGAGATACTGTAGTTTTGAGACATGCTTTAGGGTAATTTCAGTACTTGGTATTTGAAGAAACATTAGAGTTGAATAATGGAAGAGAGATTATGGTTATTAAATACGCAGAGGATACCAAGCAGGGAGGATCTGCAAGCACTTTAGAGGACAGTATTAGAATGTAAAATGGTCTTGACAAATTGGAGAAATGGAATATTTTACACGTGGTCTTTGTCCTCTTTGTTATACTCAGACTGATTTTAGCCGGCTGTAAAGGCTGCATCAGTAACAGACCATTTTTGATTCATATTTATACGCTGGGTCATCTGAAGTTGTCCTGTGCCTGTGTTCTCAGAGGTTCTGCTTTCATTGTATGCTTGATACTTTGAGGGGCTTCTGCTGTCCTGTCAGACACTGTGCAAAAGCAGAATCAAGAACTGATGACATACTACAATCTTGACCTGATTTTTATTCCACTGATGGAATGAGTTCTGTAGTTTGGGAGACGCTGACTTATGCCAATGTATGAGTAAATTTGAAGAACTACATCATTGTGAAGATCAGAATCTGTTCAGTAGCCCTGAAACTTTTCTGAATGTGTGAAGAAATCAAGTGTGGTTTTGCTACTGTACAAAAAACAGTTACGCAATGCATTACTCTTTTTTCAACTCTGTAGTAATGGATAACTATCAGAAACGTACTGATATTTCCATAGTTTGTGGCATTATCGGTCCTGTAAGAAGTTATCAGCCAAGTAGTTAGTTGTTTTCTGTGTTGAATGGAGAACTAATGTGTTGTTAGCAAATACTTGAGGTCTTTGTCCTAACAAGATGTAGTGTTTGGTGGGGAGAGCGCACTGGTAAGGGGAGAAATAACTCTATCACAGTCTCAATTTCAGTGATTTGGATGATTCATTGCATTCATTAGGAAGGATGCAACTCAGCCAACTGAAATACGTAAGTCATAGACAGAAACTTAAATTATAATCCTCCCTTTCTTCTTTGCAGTGTTTCTGTGTTGTACTAATAGAGCCAGCTGTGCCTAATACAACTAGTATTTATTTGTTTTTAACAAGGTGACTTAATCCCATGTTGTTTAGCTTCTGGAAGTCTGCACATACAGTAATTTTTACCTTACGTTTTTTAGGTAGGATTAGGTTATCCTGGAAGTAATTTTTGAGCATAGCTTCCTGTACTTAAGTGGTTGCTGAGGTCATTTTTGTGTCATGTCTATAAAATGTACCACCTTTAAATTTAGAGAAACTATGTATATGACGCTGCTGTTGATTTGAGGCTGATTAAAATCTGTATGCTTCGTCTGAGAAAACAATGTGATTTTGGAAAATGAAGCAGCCTTTAGAAAAGATGTGTCTGGTTACTAAGATTTCTCCGCCCTGCAGCAGATCAAAGGAGGAAATAGTAGTTCCTTAAAGGAAATATCTGCTTGTCCAGCATGTGTGAGGAGCTGAATAAAGGCCTTGGATCATTCTAGTCACTTCTGCATGGCAGAGTCTGGAAGAGATGCTTAGCCATCTTTCTCTGGCTAAGGATTTGATGTGCACATCTCCTCAAGTTTTTCCTTTTCAGCAGAGACTGCACTGAAAAGAAATCTGAATTTTCGTCCGGAAATGCCCCCAGCTGCATTTTGGTTAAGTTTTGTGATCTGGGTGGTTGCGGCAAAGACAACACTAGCCCTGCAGGTTAGGTGAAGCTTCTGTGAAAGCCACCTTGGCCTGTTTCATATGCTGTAGTAGTTTGCTGGACTGGTTCTGTGCTTATCCTCCTGTTTCCAAGGAGATAAGTGGATTGTGGTACAGCTAGAACTAAAACTGCCTTGAGGAGCCTTAGAGCATGTAAGAGAGAATTCATGAGGTATCAAATTCATACAGACA